ATATAGTTTATATAGGGAAATAACACTTTTCGGTATATATTTTATCCATTTTCAGCAGAAAATTGCTCAAACTTAGTCAGAATCATCTTGGGTAAATGAGAGTTTTACTTTGTAAAATTAGGATTCCTGCCCCCTCCCCAGGGGCTAGGGCGGGGCCCCAAAGGGAACATTTACCAATATTTTCAAATTCTTATCCATTGATGACATGACAAGTATTGTATTTCACTTAGTTTACATGCTGATTTCCACATCACATCTAAACAATAAAATAAAGCTACCAGTATCTATGATATCACTCAGGTGACCGCTAAGGCCCTTGGGCCTCTTGTTTATTACAGCTGTTCGGTTTCTTTGAAGGACGTTTTTTGCAGCTGAGATAGTGGGTCTTCCATTCGCGTACATATGCGTTGTTTGCGCAAGAGTTTGTCTTCCAATCGTATCTTGATTAGGGGTTCAAAATGCTTCAACAAATTGTCTTCACTACACAGGTCACATTTTCGGTCGATGCAGTCAAGTTTGTGGAACTTTGAGTTCAGCGATGCAGCTGTATTTATTCTCCAATTTTAGTTCTGCTTTTTTCAATTTCTGTGCGGCAAGGTTGAGTGTATCCAGTTTATATTGAACGTTGAGACAGAGACAACTGTTAAACTTTTGCTGTTTTACAGTGAGTACCTCTTTAGGTCCAAGTTTCCGGAAATGGCTAAGTGACACTTTGATCTCTGGATTATCTTTCATGAATCTGACATGTGCCTGTTGTAAAGTGTCAGCCCATTTGAGCAAGGGACATGTCCTTGTTACAATACAATTAACAATACAAATGTAATAAAATTTCAGAATAACTACACAAATATCCTATTCTTCACTAATCTTTAGTATTCATGTGTACCAAACCCTGGAACAAGTCTTTTTTTTCAATTTCAATCTCAAAATAGGATGTAACTTAGGACGACAAATTTGGAGTCGGCGTTACATCTCGATATAATTCTGATCAAAATGTCTAAATTGAAACTTTGTTTATAAAAGGAACATACAAAGTTGTTTCATTTAATGATCTACATTTGCTTAGAATTATATATGATAAATCATGTGTTATTGTTTCAACATGGATTCTTAATCTGGCAATTTCATGTGTGTTTTTAACTTCATTTTTTTGAAAAGTGACCCTTCAAACCGAGAAAAGGTGGAACTACAACTTTAGCACCAACTTTCTGCAAGAGATCTTGTATCAGGAATCCCTTGTCAGCCATCACCTCATCTCCGACATCAAGAAGGTCTATCAATCCTGACACTTTGGTGATTTCCTTGTCTGAAATGGAACCAGTGTGTAATGCACTTATAAAACTGATTGCACCACAAGGTGTTATACCAATTAAACCCTTAAAGGTTGTGTGCGACTTGTAATTGGAATAAGTTTCTGAATTCAATACCTTAGCACTAGGGGTTTGGGCACGCAACTCTGTGCAGTCCACGATCACCCTGGTGTTAGGGTATGTGACTTTGAAACATTCAGGCATATTTGCATTCACTCTGCTTTTTGAAGGCCAAATGGGCAAGCTTCCCAACATAAAATACAAGTAGTTTACCCATGTTATCAATAATCTACTTACTGTACTAGTAGAGACTCCAAAACGGATAGCAAGATCATGCTCATTATGACCTTGCCGAATACGACATAGAAATAGAAAAAACTGGTCAATAAGAGGAAGTGTTTCACAGCGGAAAGGATCTTCCTTACTGTCAACACCTAACCTCTTACGTTGAATCTGACTCCAGCGTGTCATTGTAAAAGCAGTTGGCTGGAGACTCTCAAACACAGCTTTTAAACAGGCATATGACTTAAAACCTGTATACATATTTAAAGTATATTCATCAGTACTAAACCTCTCAATACAAAACCTTTGATTAATTTTTGCCTGCAGCCTAGCTTCAAGCGTTGCAATGTACTGTGTTGAGAGCTCCAGCTTCTCTGCATCCGACAGCGGAAGAGGGTCTGTCACATAGTCATGGTCCTGACTAGGAATAGGCTGATGAATATCATCCCCATCTGCAGGAGCAGCATCAGCATGCTTCATATGCTTTTCTTGAAGTTGATGGTCTCTGCAAAGAATAATGAAAATTTCACAATCCTGCAAATGGAAAGTTAAATAGCCGTAATCAAAGCAGTGCAGGATGTCAAGTTAAGTATTATAAAAACACAAAGAGAAAATATTGATTGTAATGATGGTGTTATATACATTTAACATTGAAGCGGAATGATACACCGAATATTCATGACTGATTAATGAAAACTGCTGAAATCAAATTGGAATGTTGTTTTAACCTGCATACATAAAATATTATAAAATAGCAATAAATTCTTTTATGGTTATATGATCAACATAAGAAAGAAAAAGTTAACACTTATTGAAAAGGGCAAGGTATACATGTTTGTCTTAAGATTGTAAAGTTTGTTAAATTATGAAATTGTGCTGATTTTCACCTTGTTCATAGTCAACTGCTATTTATGAGTCCTCTGGGACTCGAACCCAGCATCCAAAATCAATTGGATGGTACCAAATACAAAACTCTGTTCATGCAAAACGAATGAAAATCAACAGACCATCCAACAAAGTACAACTTCAAAATGTTTTTTTTTTATATAAATGATTAAATTTTCATTCAATTATGAGACTATTCATGTAGCATATATATTACTGTCATGTATAGCATATATATATATACACTGTTGACATGTTAACTAGGTTGTGCCAATACAGCAAAATTGGTATTGATGTTCTCAAGTTTCTTTATCTTCTTTTACTGGTAAGTGTATAGATCTGTATTTTACAAAAAGCAACTAAAAATATTTTTTATGATAAACAAACTTCTTATATAATATAAATTAAATGCTTTAGTTTATCTTAACACTTCAAATTACTTTCATTTATTTATTTTCACATTGGGGGCTTCATACACTTTTCAATATATAACAAATGAAATGAATGAATCATAAATTATTTATCTATTTTGAAAAAATGGTTTAGGCATTATTTTGATTACATTTGAGATTATTTGATGTTATTTTTTAAAATTTAACCAGAAGAAAAATCACAATGTGTGGGTATTTCCTTGTAACCATATGTTGATACCGGATAGGTCTCAAAACCATGGCTGCTCTCCACTCTGACACCAATGACCTGTATTACAAAAGTGTGATAGCAGAAAAGGAGTCAACATGTTAGGCCAAACAAAAAATATGTTGTGTTTCCAGTAACCCTAATTACCTTAATTGTTTGTGCCAATAATACCCTACACATTTGAAGGCAATTTTCAAAGAAGCACTGTTAAAGTCAAGATCACTTTCCTATTCAAACCATATAAACTTATTTGTTAAAATAAAATTTGTCACCTGCCTACCTACCCAAAATTTGACCAACATGTTACAGGAAACAAATATATATTATTTTGTCGGGCCTGATGCTAAATAAACAAATCAACATTTACTATACCTGGGCTATGATGAATGATCAACCATTCGAAAATGTCAACATATATGAATTGTAAAGAAAAGACTATACATTGAATTTATTTACTGTAAAAGTGAAAAGTTCATGCTTTTGAACAAATGGATTTGACAAGCCCATTCAGAGATTTAATTGTGTTATGTGCATGTATGTTCATTGCATAGGAAACATACTTTTAAACTTATATTATTAAAGGTTAAAAATCTCAATGAACAGTTGCATGAAAGTTCACTTTTAAAGTTTATATATCCATGTATCAGTTAGATGTATATGCTTATTGATTTTGTTTAGGGTTTTCCCACTGCACTGTTCAAAATATAGGTCCTAACAAAGAAGATTTATGTATTGCTAGAAAACAAACATTGTAAAAATATATTAAACCAATTACTAGTGTATTGAGAGTATCTTTCTTACAGGACAAATGGACGTTTTTTGGGAGGAGGTCTCTCAGCTTTTGCATTATTCCACTGGAACACAGTGGGGACTGTTCCCTCCTTCAGCTTTCTTATTCCTGTTAGAGTCCTTTTGAAATTGTCCAAGGAGAAATGTTCTGAGCACACATATGTGCAATTTGTAATCTGTAAACAAGGTACAACTAATTACTGCAGCTGTTAACTATCCACAGCATACTAATTTATGCATCAAATCCAAATTTATTTAAAGCACAATGAAATTAAAAACTGGTTTCTGTATATGTATAATCCTTGTTTGCATGTGTACATAACATTTGTGACAAGCCTGGGGCCCCTGTGATATAAAGTTCAACTAGTCAGTACTGTCAAACTTTTGACATGGCACAATATAACCTTCTAAATTTGCTCGTGTTGACCACAGGGATTCGTTACAAATGTCTAATACATGTATATATATTTATACCTGTACTGATATAGGTCACACTCACAGCATACATAAACATACAGAATTTGACTTTTGTAACGAATTCCAAATAAATTTGAGATGGTTTTAGTAACAACAAGATACAGCTAATAAATGTATCTGTCTTGCAGCATTTGAACAGACAACATATCAGTATAGCATATGTTTACTAGACACGATTAGTAACGAACCCCTGTGAAGTGACGGGATACAGCTGGTATCGACAACAATGGCATCTCTATCAGGACGGATTTATATATATTTTAGCTTGCAACAACAGAAAAGTATGCGATTATGACATTGTACCACGAGTACTTGCCTCGTTTGTCAATGCACATATATATGTACCCACATGTGCATACTGACTGTCGAGGTAGTGATGAGGGGGGGGGGCATTCCTGTATATTCAATACAAATACCTTGAACAGCGAGCCCTCGTCTCGTCTGATGCGGACTAACCACATCTTCCGGACTGACTCCTCTTTAGGAAAAACATGGAACGATATTTTCCTTCCTATATGTCTGCTGTCGCTGGAACAAAAAGGCACACAACAGTGCTTCGCTGCCATGTTGTACAATTCCTAGGTGGCGCTGCCTGTGCGCCTTCAACCTCGTTTTGACATCCGTGTCCATGACGCGTGAGAAAAGCGTATTGCAATATTTTGGATCTTGATCTTTCTTTATTTAGAGTGGTTTAAGTTAGCTAGATAGGGCGCTATATCAAATGTATATTTATTTTTAGGTCACCTGAGCTTTGCGTCGTGCGTAAACTTTTTACATTATCAACTTCTTCTCAAGAACCAGCGGATGGAATATTTTCAAACTTGGTCAGAAGCATCCTTGGTAGATGAGGCTACCAAATTGTAAAATTGGGATTCCTTCCTCAACCCTAGGGGCCAGGGCGGGGCCCAAAAGGGAAAATTAACCAATATTTAAAAAAATCTTCTTCTCCAGACTCAGAGGTATTACAGTCATTTTCTCTGTATGGATGGAAAGATCATCAGGGGCTTTATTTAAATTGTAAATTTCAGGACCCCCGAACTATCCGTTCTCCCTTGGGAAGGGGGTAAAGTTTACTATAGTGTAAAACAACACTTTAGGGTATATTTTGACAATTTTCTGTTTTAAAATTATTCTTACTTTGTGAGAATTATCCTTAGAGGAGGGAGATGGTTTTAAATTGTAAAATTGGGATCCCTACCCCAACCCTAGGGGCCAGGGCGGGGCCCCAAAGGGAAAATTAGCCAATATTTCAAAAATCTTCTCCAGACTCTGAGGTATTACAGACATTTTCTCTGCATGGATGGAAAGATCATCAGTGGCTTTATTTAAATTGTAAATTTCAGGACCCCCGAGCTATCCGTTCTCCCTTGGGGAGGGGGTAAAGTTTACTATAGTTTATATAGGGAAACAACACTTTTGGGTATATTTTGACAATTTTCTGTTGGAAATTATTTTTACTTGGTCAGAATCATCTTTGGTAGAGGAAGATGGTTTTAAATTGTAAAATTGGGATTCCTACCCCAACCCTAGGGGCCAGGGCGGGGCCCAAAAGGGAAAATTAACCAATATTT